TACGCACCAGGATGTACACGTTTATAGAGGGGCAACTGATATATCGGGTCATTATCTAGTTGTAGCTACAGTTAGAGTAAGAGGTAGATGGGATAAGAGGAAAATGGCAACAATAAGTGAGAGGGAGGTGAAAGTGTATGAACTAAGGGGGGAGGAAGTTCGGGTGAAATATAAGCAACTATTGGCCGGGAACAATGGGCTAGTAACCCCTTTTCCTGTAAAGATTACTAAAAAGAATAAGAAGAAGAAAATTGTCAAAGTGGGAAGTCTGAATGTGCGTGGATGTTGTGCAGATGATAAGAAAGAGATGATTGTGGATGTTATGAATGAGAAAAAGCTGGATGTCCTGGCTTTAAGTGAAACAAAGCTGAAGGGGGTGGGAGAGTTTCAGTGGAGAGGAATAAATGGGATTAGGTCAGGGGTTTCAAATAGAGTTAGAGCTAAAGAAGGAGTAGCAATAATGTTGAAGGATAAGCTATGGCAGGAAAAGAGGGACTATAAATGTATTAATTCAAGGATTATGTGGAGCAAAATAAAGATTGGATGTGAAAAGTGGGTTATAATAAGCGTGTATGCACCTGGAGAAGAGAGAAGTGTAGAGGAGAGAGAGAGATTTTGGAAATGTTGAGTGAATGCGTGGGAGTTTTTGAATCAAGTGTGAGAGTAATGGTGGTTGGGGATTTTAATGCTAAAGTGGGTAAAAATGTTATGGAGGGAGTAGTAGGTAAATTTGGGGTGCCAGGGGTAAATGTAAATGGGGAGCCTTTAATTGAGCTATGTGTAGAAAGAAATTTGGTAATAAGTAATACATATTTTATGAAAAAGAGGATAAATAAATATACAAGGTATGATGTAGCACGTAATGAAAGTAGTTTATTAGATTATGTATTGGTGGATAAAAGGTTGATGGGTAGGCTCCAGGATGTACATGTTTATAGAGGGGCAACTGATATATCGGATCATTATTTAGTTGTAGCTACAGTTAGAGTAAGAGGTAGATGGGAAAAGAGGAAGGTGGCAACAACAAGTAAGAGGGAGGTGAAAGTGTATAAACTAAGGAGGAGGAAGTTCGGGTGAGATATAAGCGACTATTGGCAGAAAGGTGGGCTAGTGCAAAGATGAGTAGTGGGGGGGTTGAAGAGGGTTGGAATAGTTTTAAAAATGCAGTATTAGAATGTGGGGCAGAAGTTTGTGGTTATAGGAGGGTGGGGGCAGGAGGAAAGAGGAGTGATTGGTGGAATGATGAAGTAAAGGGTGTGATAAAAGAGAAAAAGGTAGCTTATGAGAGGTTTTACAAAGCAGAAGTGTTATAAGAAGAGCAGAGTATATGGAGAGTAAAAGAAAGGTAAAGAGAGTGGTGAGAGAGTGCAAAAGGAGAGCAGATGATAGAGTGGGAGAGGCACTGTCAAGAAATTTTAATGAAAATAAGAAAAAATTTTGGAGCGAGTTAAAAAAAGTTAAGAAAGCCTAGGGAAAATATGGTTTTGTCAGTTAAAAACAGAGTAGGGGAGTTAGTAGATGGGGAAGGGAGGTATTGGGTAGATGGCGAGAATATTTTGAGGAATTTTTAAAATGTTAAGGAAGAAACAGAGGCAGTAATTTCATGCACTGTCAGGGGAGGTATACCATCTTTTAGGAGTGAAGAAGAGCAGAATGTAAGTGTGGGGGAGGTACGTGAGGCATTACGTAAAATGAAAGGGGGTAAAGCGCTGGAACTGATGGGATCATGACAGAAATGTTAAAAGCAGGGGGGGATATAGTGTTGGAGTGTTGGGTACTTTTGTTAATAAATGTATGAAAGAGGGGAAGGTACCTAGGGATTGGCAGAGAGCATGTATAGTCCCTTTATAAAAAGGGAAAGGGGACAAAAGAGACTGTAAAAATTACAGAGGAATAAGCTTACTGATTTATACCAGGAAAAGTGTACGGTAGGGTTATAATTGAAAAAATTAGAGGAAAGACAGAATGTAGGATTGCGGATGAGCAAGGAGGTTTTAGAGTGGGTGGGGGATGTGTAGATCAGGTGTTTACATTGAAGCATATATGTGAACAGTATTTAGATAAAGATGGGGAGGTTTTTATTGCATTTATGGATTTAGAAAAGGCATATGATAGAGTGGATAGAGGAGCAATGTGGCAGATGTTGCAAGTATATGGAATAGGTGGTAGTTATTAAATGCTGTAAAGAGTTTTTAAAGAGGATAGTGAGGCTCAGGTTAGGGTGTGTAGAAGAGAGGGAGAATACTTTCCCGGTAAAAGTAGGTCTTAGACAGGATGTGTAATGTCACCATGGTTGTTTAATATAAATTTTTAGATGGGGTTGTAAAAGGGAAATAAATGCTAGGGTGTTTGGGAGGGGAGGGGTGGGATTAAATTTTGGGGGAATCAAATTCAAAATGGGGGAATTGACACAGTTACTTTTTGCTGATGATACTGTGCTTATGGGAGATTCTAAAGAAAAATTGCAAAGGTTTGTGATGAGTTTGGGAATTGTGTTAAAGGTAGAAAGTTGAAAGTGAACATAGAAAAGAGTAAGGTGATGAGGGTGTCAAATGATTTAGATAAAGAAAAAATTGGGTATCAAATTGGGGAGGAGGAGTATGGAAGAAGTGAATGTTTTCAGATACTTGGGAGTTGACGTGTCGGCGGATGGATTTATGAAGGATGAGGTTAATCATAGAATTTATGAGGGAAAAAAGGTGAGTGGGCTTTGAGGTATATGTGGAGTCAAAAAACGTTATCTATGGAGGGAAAGAAGGGAATGTATGAAAGTATAGTGTAACCAACACTCTTATATTGGGTGTAAGCTTGGGGTGGTAAATGCGCAGCAAGGAGACGGTTGGAGGCAGCGGAGATGTCCTGTCTAAGGGCAATGTGTGGTGTAAATATTATGCAAAAAATTCGGAGTGTGGAAATTAGGAGAAAGTGTGGAGTTAATAAAAGTATTAGTCAGAGGGCTGAAGAGGGTTTGTTGAGGTGGTTTGATCATTTAGAGAGAATGGATCAAAGTAGAATGACATGGAGAGCATATAAATCTGTAGGGGAAGGAAGGTGGGGTAGGGGTCGTCCTCGAAAAGGTTGGAGGGAGGGGGTAAAGGAGGTGTTGTGGGCGAGAGGTTTGGACTTCCGGCAAGCGTGCGTGAGTTTGTTAGAAGTGAATGAAGACAAATGGTATTTGGGACCTGACGAGCTGTTGGAGTGTGATCAGGGTAATATTTAGTGAAGGGATTCAGGGAAACCGGTTATTTTATATAACCGGACTTGAGTCCTGGAAATGGGAAGTACAATGCCTGCACTCTAAAGGAGAGGTTTGGGATATTGGCAGTTTGGAGGGATATACGTATTGTGTATTTTTATACGTATATACTTCTAAACTGTTGTATTCTGGGCACCTCTGCTAAAACAGTGATTATGTGTGAGTGAGGTGAAAGTGTTGAATGATGATGAAAGTATTTTCTTTTTGGGGATTTTCTTTCTTTTTGGGTCACCCTTCCTCGGTGGGAGACGGCCGACTTGTTAAAAAAAAAAAAAATAGTAATTTGTCAGAGCATCATTCCTTTCAAAAATTACATGAGAATGGGAGTGTTCGTCTTTATTTACTTTACTGTACCACTGTAGAGACAACTTGTACACAGTATAAGGTGTTTGTATGAATGTTTATGAACCATAACCAGACACATCATCTATCTGTTTACATAGTGGGTAGGGTGGCCAGGCAGGCTTCCCTATGCTACACTACCTACCACACGACTTTCTACTAATAAATACTTTTCACCTTTCACCCTACATTAAGACTACAAATATTTTAAGGTAAGTAATGAGTGTACCCTATATGCATTTGATCACTCTATGGAGCTTTAAGCATCATCGACCATAAGCATAAGCATCATTGACCATAAACAGAAATATTAATCTCAATCTTAAAATAATGAATCCTGTAATACTCCAATACTGAAACTATGTACTGTGCCAAAACAAAAGCATTTACATTGCTAAACTCACAAACTAGTATTTAGTCACTTAGCCATAATACCAACTTACCTCATAATTTGTAATATTTTACAATTAAGAATAAAACTAAGTCTGCCCGAAATGCCTAGCCATGCTAAGCGTTCTAGTGGTACACTCTGTAATCACTATTTTACTACATGTAAACCACACAATAACCAAATTTCTGTAAACTCAGCATTGTAATCCTTATAGAGAATAAACTTTGAATTTTAATTTGAATTTGAATCGTAGTATACCGTATTTTGTGTGGGTGGGGTGGCCAGGAGGGCTACCACACCTAACTTCTTACAGTAAATACTACTTAACTTTTGCCCTACATTAAGACTACAAATATTTTGAGGTAAATAATGAGTACTGTGTGTGTATTTTATTTTTTATTGTTTTTAATACCTAGTCCTATTGCTAATTTAATATATGTTAGTGTAAACTTGTTATCTGGCACTTATATGCATTTATAAGTGGAAAAATGGCGTTCTGCTTTCCGGCAGCCTGGAACCTAACCTGCGGTATAAGTAGGGCCGTACTGTACAGGTTTCCATTTCACTCAATAGGCAGGACGGTAGTATCTCCCTGGGCGGTTGCTATTTACCCACCTACTACCTAGGGCCATTGATAATTATCAATCGTAAATATTGATAGTATGTAAATTTGGCATTAATGGGTGGATAGGATTTGTTGTGTAACTTGTAAGAGGGTGTGAAAAAAGCATTAGTTCCTCATATTTTGGGTTTAACAGTTATATATCTAATGGCAGAATGTAGGGAAATAGATATGAATAGAAAGTAGATGGGTGGTTGTAGATGTGAGACTTGGAGAGAGACAGAGGAATATGAGCATTCAGAACTATATTTGTGATACACAATTGAGGCCTATTTTCAGTTCATATTTTAGTTACCTGGTTGCAAATGAATACATTTTTTTTTTATCCGTAATGTTCTTTTTACATGTACTTGAAAGGACAGTAATGGGTATATATTTATCTTTTGCAGTGTTGGTCTGTTTGCGAGTGCAGATACAGCATATGTGCTGGCCTATTCCATTATTATGCTGACTACAGATTTACACAGTGTGCAAGTCAAGGTAAATGCTGTAGCTTGTTTAAATATTTGTTTTGTTCATTGCAAATATATAATGGTTGCTTTCACTTGATTTGTTAAAGATTGGATAGCAGCATATCAAGAGGGTGTATTTTAAAGGAGAACTTGGTCATGGACTTAACGATCCATAACTTTATTTTTTCACACCTGGTTACTCAAATTATTTTTTTTAATCCACTGGCTGTCTCCCACCGTGCCAGGGTGACCCGAAAAAGAAACACTTTCACCATCATTCACACTCACTCATTCCAGAGGTGTGTATGACAGTGATAGTGTGAATGATGCTTAGTGTTTCTTTTTCAGGTCACACTGTTTTGGTGGGAGATGGCCAGGGTGTTTAAAAACTGTAGATTTGCCTAGAACTTTAGATGCAATGATTTGTGAGCATCAATTTGAATGCCCCACATATACCATACCTCTTTTTAGTGTTCCACATTTTCATTGGTAAAGGTAGTAGGTTGGTAGACAGCAACCGCCCAGGGAGGTACTACCGTCCTGCCAAGTTAGTGTAAAACGAAAGCCTGTGATTGTTTTACATGATGGTAGGATTGCTGGTGTCCTTTTTTCTGTCTCATAAACATGCAAGATTTCAGGTACGTCTTGCTACTTCTACTTACACTTAGGTCACACTACACATACATGTACAAGCATATACAGTGGACCCCCAGTTCATGATATTAATCCGTTCCTGAGAGCTCATCGTAAACCAAAATTATCGGAAAGTGAATCAATTTTCCCCATAAGAAATAATGGAAACCAAATTAATCCGTGCAAGTCACCCAAAAGTATAAAAAAAAAAACTTTTACCACATGAAATATTAAGTTTAATGCAATAGAATAATTACAATAACAACAATAACAATAGAATAATTGACACTTACCTTCAATGAAGATCTGGTGATGATTGATGGGATGGGAGGAGGGGAGAGTGTTGAACCTAGTGTTTAGAAAGGGAATCCCCCTCCATTAGGACTTGAGGTAGCTTTTCCTCCTGAGTAATGTAGGTCCTGCTTGGCAATTTCTTCCAAAACAGGCCTGTTTCATCACAGTTAAACACTTGTTCAGGTTTCAATCCTTCAGTTTCTATGTACTCCTTGAATTTATGCACATATTTTTCAGCCACTTTGTGGTCTGGACTGGCAGCCTCACCATGCCTAATCACACGATATATGCCACTACGATTCTTAAATCTTTCAAACCAACCTTTGCTGGCCTTAAATTCACTCGCATCACCACTAGTTGCAGGCAATTTCTTTACCAAATCGTCATGCAACTGCTTAGCTTTTTCACAAATGATTGCTTGAGAGATGCTATCTCCTGCTATCTGTTTTTCATTTATCCACACCAATAACAATCTCTCAACATTTTCTAACACTTGCGGTCGCTGTTTTGTAATCACAGTTGCACCTTTTGCAAGAACAGCTTCCTTGATTGCTGTTTTCCTGGTCACTATAGTAGAGATTGTTGATTGGGGTTTACTATACAACCTGACCAGCTCCGACACACGCACTCCACTTTCGTACTTTGCAATTATCTCTTTCTTCATTTCAATAGTCATTAGCACCCTTGGTCTCGAAGGGTTGGCACTAGAAGCTTTCTTGGGGCCCATTGTGACTTATTTTGCAGAAACAAGCACCAAAAACTGATAATATGGATAATATGGAATGTACTGAATGTATCCTTAGATGCGCGCACACTGGCTGGCTTGTAAACACTGGTACACACGGGAAAGTTCAGGCCACACGTGGACACGTCTCGTACGAATCGCATCGCATACCGGGTTTTGTAACGGGAACCGAGGCAAATTTTTGGCGATATAATGCATCGGTTACCGGATTTATCGGATACCGATAGCAACGCGAACCGGGGGTCCACTGTATATACACACCCCTCTGTGTTTTCTTCTATTTTCTTTCTAGTTCTTGTTCTTGTTTATTTCCTCTTATCTCCATGGGGAAGTGGAACAGAATTCTTCCTCCGTAAGCTATGCGTGTTGTAAGAGGCGACTAAAATGCCGGGAGCAAGGGGCTAGTAACCCCTTCTCCCATATAAATTACTAAATTTAAAAAGAGAAACTTTCGTTTTTCTTTTTGGGCCACCCTGCCTCGGTGGGATACGGCCAGTTTGTTGAAAAAAAAAAAATTCATTGGCTTTCAATCAAACCATTGTTCCACTGGCAGATGAACATAATGAACAGTGGTTCAATTTGAAGCCAAAGAAAACAAGCAACACTGAAAAGGTGCTGTATATGTAGAGCCCTCCTGTATACTAAACTGGTCATTAATGAGGATTAGAAATAGGGTCTAAAGTTAACAGAAGCTTGAGTCACAAAATACTATAACATAATTGAGGATAGTGAGGCTCAGGTTAGGGTGTGTAGAAGAGAGGGAGAATACTTCCCGGTAAAAGTAGGTCTTAGACAGGAATGTGTAATGTCACCATGGTTGTTTAATATATTTATAGATGGGGTTGTAAAAGAAGTAAATGCTAGGGTGTTCGGGAGAGGGGTGATATTAAATTATGGGGAAATAAATACAAAATGGGAAGTGACACAGTTACTTTTTGCTGATGATACTGTGCTTATGGGAGATTCTAAAGAAAAACTGCAAAGGTTAGTGGACAAATTTGGGAGTATGTGTAAAGGTAGAAAGTTGAAAGTGAACATAGAAAAGAGTAAGGTGATGAGAGTATCAAATGATTTAGATAAAGAAAAATTGGATATCAAATTGGGGAGGAGGAGTATGGAAGAAGTGAATGTTTTCAGATGTTTGGGAGTTGACGTGTCAGTGCATGCATTTATGAAGGATGAGGTTAATCATAGAATTGATGAAGGAAAAAATGTGAGTGGTGCATTGAGGTATATGTGGAGGTAAAAATGTTATCTATGGAGGCAAAGAAGGGAATGTATGAAAGTATAGTAGTACCAACACTCTTATATGGATGTGAAGCTTGGGTTGTAAATGCTGCAGCGAGAAGGCGGTTGGAGGCAGTGGAGATGTCCTGTCTAAGGGCAATGTGTGGTGTAAATATTATGCAGAAAATTCGGAGTGTGGAAATTAGGAGAAGGTGTGGAGTTAATAAAAGTATTAGTCAGAAGGCTGAAGAGGGTTTGTTGAGGTGGTTTGGTCATTTAGAGAGAATGGATCAAAGTAGAATGACATGGAGAGCGTATAAATCTGTAGGGGAAGGAAGGCAGGGTAAGGGTCATCCTCGAAAAGGTTGGAGGGAGGGGGTAAAGGAGGTGTTGTGGGGGAGGGGTTTGGACTTCCAGCAAGCATGCATGAGAATCTTAGATAGGAGTGAATGGAGACAAATGGTATTTGGGACCTGACGAGCTGTTGGAGTGTGAGCAGGGTAATATTTAGTGAAGGGATTCAGGGAAACTGATTATTTTATATAACCGGACTTGAGTCCTGGAAATGGGAAGTACAGTGCCTGCACTCTAATGGAGGGGTTTGGGATATTGGCAGTTTGAAGGGATATACGTATTGTGTATTTTTATACGTATATACTTCTAAACTGTTGTGTTCTGGGCACCTCTGCTAAAACAGTGATTATGTGTGAGTGAGGTGAAAGTGTTGAATGATGATGAAAGTATTTTCTTTTTGGGGATTTTCTTTCTTTTTGGGTCACCCTGCCTCGGTGGGAGACGGCTGACTTGTTGAAAAAAAAAAATTGAATCAATGGGCTAGTAATCCCTTTTCCCATTTTTTTTTTTTTTTCAACATGTCGGCCATCTCCCACCGAGGCAGGGTGACCCAAAAAAGAAAGAAAATCCCCAAAAAGAAAATACTTTCATCATCATTCAACACTTTCACCACACTCGCACATTATCACTGTTTTTGCAGAGGTGCTCAGAATACAACAGTTTAGAAGCGTACACATATAAAGATACACAACATATCCCTCCAAACTGCCAAAAGGAAAAGAAGAAAACCATCAAAGTGGGACGTTTGAATGTGCGTGATTGCTGTGCAAATGATAAGGAAGAGATGATTGTGGATGTTATGAATGACAAGAAGCTGGACGTCCTGGCTTTAACCCTTAAACTGTCCAAACGTATATCTACATTCGGAGCGCATAGCGCTCCGAATGTAGATATACGTTTTTTTTTACGTAAGAAACAATGTAAAATCGAATGTAGATCTACGTTCGGAGCGCTACGCGTGCAAACGTAGATCTACGTTTGGACAGTTTAAGGGTTAATGAAACAAAGTGGGAGGGGGTAGGAGAGTTTCAGTGGGGAGAAATAAATGGGATTAGGTCAGGGGTTTCTAATAGAGTTAGAGCTAAGGAAGTGTAGTAGCAATAATGTCGAAGCATAAGTTATGGCAGGAGAAGAGGGAATATAAATGTATAAATTCAAGGATTATGTGAAGTAAAATAAGGGTTGGATGTGAGAAGTGGGTTATAATAAGTGTTTATGCACCTGGGGAAGAAAAAAGTGTGGAAAATAGCGAGCTTTTGGGAAATGTTGAGCGAGTGTGTTGGGAGTTTTGAACCAAGTGAGAGAGTACTTGTGGTTGGGGATCTTAATGATAAAGTGGGTAAAAATATTCTGAAGGAAGTAGTAGGTAAATTTTGAGTGCCAGGGGTGAATGAAAATGGGGAGCCTTTAATTAAATTATGTGTAGAAAGAGGTTTGATTAATAAGTAATACATATTTTATGAAAAAGAAGATAAAAAAGTATACTAGGTATGATATAGAACGTAATGAAAGTAGTTTGTTAGATTAAAAGGTTGTAGTTACAGTTAGAGTAAGACGTAGATGGGACAAAAGGAATATAGCAACAGCAAGTAGGAGAGAGGTGAAAGTGTATGAACTAAGTAAGGAGGAAGTTAAGGTGAGATATAAGCAGCTATTGGCAGGAAGGTGGGCTAGTGCAAGTATGGGTAGTGGGGGAGTTGAAGAGGGTTGGAATAGTTTTAAAAATGCAGTATTATCATATGGGGCAGAAGTTTGTGGTTACAGGAGGGTGGGTG